AGGTTATTCTGATGGATCCCGTCTCATTACAGGTGCAGGTGTTTTTTATTTTTATTTATTTTTATTATTTATTGGGATGCTGGGGGGGGGTTTAACAGGTTATTCTGACGGAGCCCGTCTCCACCACAGTTGCAGGTGTTTTGTTGTTTTTTTTCATTTATTTTTATTTATTGGGATGCTCTGGGGGGGTTTAACAGGTTATTCTGACTGAGCCCGTCTCCATTACAGGTGCAGGTGTTTTTTATTTTTATTTTTTAATTTTTATTTTTATTTATTAGGATGCTGTGGGGGGGTTTAACAGGTTATTCTGACGGAGCCCGTCTCCATTACAGGTGCAGGTGTTGTGTTTTTTTTAATTTATTTTTATTTATTGGGATGCTGGGTGGGGGGTTACAGGTTATTCTGGCGGAGCCCGTCTCCATTACAGGTGTTTTGTTGTTTTTTTTTAAATTTATTTATTGGGATGCTGGTGAGGAGACAGGTTATTCTGACTGAGCCAGTCTCCATTGCAGGTGTTTTGTTTTTTTTTAAATTTATTTCTATTTATTAGGATGCTGTGGGGGGGGTTTAACAGGTTATTCTGACGGAGCCCGTCTCCACCACAGGTGCAGGTGTTTTTTATTTTTATTTATTTTTTATTTTTTTATTGGGATGCTGTGTGGGGGGTTAACGGGTTATTCTGATGGATCCCGTCTCATTACAGGTGCAGGTGTTTTGTTGTGTTTTTTTAAATGTATTTTTATTTATTGGGATGCTGGTGAAGATACAGGTTATTCTGATGGATCCCGTCTCATTACAGGTGCAGGTGATCCCCTGGGTGATTTCGGACAGTAACTACGTGCGCTGCCCCGCCCAGCGGCTGGACCCGAGTAAGACGGTGTTCGTGGGCGCTCTGCACGGGATGCTGAACGCCGAGGCGCTGGCCAGCATCATGAACGACCTGTTCGGGGGGGTCATGTACGCCGGCATCGACACGGACAAGCACAAGTACCCCATAGGTGAGGAGAAACCCACCGGGTACTGCCAGGGTGGGAAAAATATCGATATTCAAAGGTATCGATACTAAAACGTATCCGGATACAATACTCGTTTTCAAAGGTATTAATACCCCCCCCCTTCTCTCTGATTTATTTATTTACGTTGTTTATGATTATAAACACGTTAAAGTCTCAATACTAAGACGTTGGATCCAGATACGATACTCATTTTCAAAAGTATGGATAACCCCCCCCTTTTCTCTTTATTTATGTTTATGATTGTAAACACGTTAAAGTATCAATACTCAGAAAGTCTCGATACTAAAACGTATCCTGATACGATACTCATTTTCAAAAGTATCGATACCCCCCCCTTTCTCTCTGATTTATTTATTTACGTTTATGATTATAAACACGTTAAAGTATCAATACTAAAACGTATCCGGATACGATACTCATTTTCAAAAGTATGGATAACCCCCCCCCTTCTCTCTGATTTATTTATTTTATCAATACTCAAAAGTCTCGATACTAAGACGTTGGATCCCGATACAATACTCATTTTCAAAGGTATTGATACCCCCCCACCTCTGATTTATTTATTTTATCAATACTCAAGTCTCAATACTAAGACGTTGGATTACGATACTCATTTTCAAAAGTATCGATACCCCCCCTTCTCTCTGATTTATTTATTTACGTTGTTTATGATTATAAACACGTTAAAGTATCAATACTAAAACGTATCCGGATACGATACTAGTTTTGAAAAGTATCGATACCCGCCCCCCCCCCTTCTCTTTGATTTATTTATTTTATCAATACTCAAAAGTCTCAATACTAAGACGTTGGATACGATACTCGTTTTCAAAAGTATGGATAACCCCCCCTTCTCTCTGATTTATTTATTTTATCAATACTCAAAAGTCTCAATACTAAGACATTGGATCCAGATACTCATTTTCAAAAGTATTGATACCCCCTTCTCTCTGATTTATTTTATCAATACTCAAAAGTCTCGATACTAAGACGTTGGATCTGGATACGATACTCATTTTCAAAAATATTGATACCCCCCCCTTCTCTCTGTATTTATTTACGTTTATGATTATAAACGCGTTAAAGTATCAATCCTCAAAGTCTCAATACTAAGACGTTGGATCCAGATACAATACTCATTTTCAAAAATATCGATACCACCCCCCCTTCTCTCTGTATTTATTTATGTTGTTTATGATTATAAACACGTTAAAGTATCAATACTCAAAAGTATCAATACTAAAACGTATCCGGATACGATACTCATTTTCAAAAGTATCGATACCCCCCCGATTTATTTACGTTGTTTATGATCATTAACGTGACGTTAGCCTTGAATTGCTAGCTACGGCTAATGGCTAATAATAACACGCTGACCTTAATCGAGTCAAGGATGGATATCCAACTCCCCCACATCCAAGTCGGCCATTTTGATTAGGTCACCAATAGAAAATCCCAGGCAAGAAAATCCTAATTGCTTCATGGCAATGTAGAGATTGATTTAAGTGAAATGAATCTTTCAAACACTGAATTAAACTCTATCCATAATATTATGTTAAAATAGTGCATGTTAAATGGGTTTGTACAATAAGTCCAAACAAGTTTAACCAAAAAATATTTATTTCTCACAATTATGAAGGGTTAAGGTTAGGGTCCTTAACCCTATAATACCAAATGTATCATATCTGATTCATACGGTTTCTTAAATGTTTTGCGTCTGATTCCTTTTGCATAATTTAATGGTAAAAACTTTGATCAAAATCCTATTGTACACAATCAGATACACCTGATAACAGGGGGCAGAAGACTACACAAAAATAATCTTATCGCATAGTAATAAATTATTATTATACTTTTTTTTTTTTTCCTTTTACATATTTTGTTAAAAGGCCAAATAAAGAATAAAGTAATTTTATGTTTAGTTCTTGGATCAGGCATTAAAGGGTTAATGTGGGCCACCATAACATCAGTAACAGGTCAGTTTGAAACGAGACACTAACCTGTCAAAACTCAGTTAAATTTTGGGGTCTTTGTTTTTATCCTTGTGGTATCGCAAATGGTATCGCTTATTTTCCTGAGTATCGGTATCCAGTTGAACATTTTAGTATGGTGACTGCCCCACTACTGCTGGATGGTTTGGGTCAGGATTTGTTTTTTAACTCTTTAACTCCTGTACAGGCTCTGGACGTGTCACCTTCAACAACCAGCGCAGTTACCTGAAGGCTGTGTGCGCCGCGTTTGTGGAGATTAAAACACCCAAGTTTACAAAGAAGGTGATGGTTCACTTCAGGCTGCTTCCAGCTCTTTTCCCCCCCCAATAGTGCTGCTGTAAAGTAAACCTCTTCTCTGCTCCTACAGGTCCAGATCGACCCTTATTTGGAGGACTCGATGTGTCAAGTTTGCCTTCGCCAACCTGGACCTTTCTTCTGCAGAGACCAGGTCAGTTTGGTCTTGATAAGGACTAGTTATTTATTTAATTCAAGTGTGCATTTAATATGAATGTATTTTGAGCTGGACAAATTGACACTTAAACTTAATTCATAAGTTAGTCCCACTGGTCATAAACTGGCTCAGTTTGGCTTTGGTCTTGATAAGGACTAGAATTATTTCAAGTGTGCATTTAATATTGTATTTTGAGCTGGACAAATTGACAATTGAACTTAATTCATAACTTAGTCCCACTGGACTGAGACTGGACTCAGACTGGCTTTGGTCTTGATAAGGACTAGAAATTTTGTTTTTAAATCAAGTGTGCCTTCAATATGAATGTATTTTGTGCTGGACAATTGACACTTAAACTTAATTCATAACTTAGTCCCACTGGACTGAGACTGGGCCAGCTCAGTTTGGTCTTGATAATGACTAGAATTATTTATTTAATTCATTTCAAGTGTGCATTTAATATGAATGTATTTGGTGCTGGACAACTGACACTTAAACTTAAATTGACAAAATTAAGGTTGGATTTTAGTTTCATTTTTATTTTAACTGCTTGTGCACCAGTGACTCATTTTGATAAGAACAGAGTAAATATGTGGGGACACAGTAGTAAATAAGATGGGATGTAAATGGTATAAGGTTTATAAGGAATTTGATTTTGTATGTCTGAGATGTCACGAGCTCATTCAGGGTAGCAATTTAGGATTACCATTTCTATATTAAGTTGCTAGTTATAATATAGGGATGTCCACGTCCAGATTTTTTCACTTCCGATACCGATCCGGCCTATCAGAGCATATGTTAAAGTTTAAAGTTATTTATCTACTTACTTAGCTGTCAGACTCATGTTGAACAGGGATTTACTCTGATAACAACTTAATGGTTAGGACACAGACCTGTGGGTTACAGATGCTAATGCTAATGCTCGTGTGGGATTGGACTTTAAAAGGGGACATCTTATGCAAAACTAAGTTTTTAATCATGTGATTCTGTACATTTGGGACTGTGGAGGGCCTATCAGCAGGCAAAGTGTGAAAAAAAATTACTCAGTCATGTTTTTGTGGGCCGCCTCAGTCTGAATCCAGGAGATAAATCAGGAGGTTTCAGGAGTGGGTAGTTTCTGACGTCATTAGCTCTAGCTCATTATAATATTATTATTATTATTATATTAATATTATTATATATTATCTAGCTCATTATAATATTCCAGCCTTTCACCTGCATGTTGCCCCCCCCCTCAGCTCACTCCCCTATCTGTGGAGACGTCCTGGTAGCGTGAGCGTTAGCATGGTAGCATTAGCATGGTAGTGTTAGCGCGGTAGCGTTAGCATGGTAGTGTTAGCATGGTAGGGGGGACTGAACTGCTATTGGGCTTCATCCTTATGGGATTCTGACCAAAGCTTGTCAGACATTACATTAGGACAGTGTTTTTCAACCCCTGTGCCTCGGCACACTAGTGTGCCGTTAGTGATGGTCAGGTGTGCCGTAGAAAATCATCCTATTTCACCTAATTGGTCTAAAAAAAAATGTTTAAGGAATTTATTTTCTGCAAATAATATGCCATTTTTTAGTGTCTTTGCTGTTCTACTGACTGGTGGAGTAATCATGTAATAATTCCTTATGACTAGATTTTGGATATAATTTTGTACATTGAAGTGGACGTGTTAAGAGCAATTTGAAAGAAGAAATATAAAATATGATAAAAATACATTTTCGTGTTTATTTGATTCCTATTCAACACACTTAAGATAAGATAAGAATAAAATAAGAATAACTATAGTGTTACTATAGGCGGCTACAGATTTGTTTGACATTTTTGGTTGGTGATGTGCCTCGAGATTTTTTCAATGAAAAACTGTACCTTGGCTCAAAAAAGGTTGAAAAACACTGCATTAGGACACCAGGGAACTAAGTTAACTTGTTGAAATAGGCTATAACATGTGTCCTTTAAAAACAAACGGACTACGTTTCCTCCCCAGGCCTGCTTTAAGTACTACTGCCGCTCATGTTGGCACTGGCAGCACTCCATGGACATCCTGAGCAACCACCGGCCGCTCATGCGCAACCAGAAGAACCGGGACTCCAGCTAGAGCCCAGGAGGAGACCCCGACCCCACGGGCCCCAGGAAGGGCCCCCCCCCCCCCCCCCCCCCCCCCCCGCAAAGGGCCGAGGCTGCACGCCAAAGGAGAGAGCACGTGTGCCAGACGTCCCCCGGAGGACTCGTGGCCCCACCCGGCACTGGGATATCACTGTAGGAAAACGTTCACTTTTGCACTTGCTACCTTTTTGCTGTTGTTCACAGTGGCACTATGCACCGTGGAGGGTTGGGCCCTCCGCACTTATGCATTTTCCCAGACTCGTGGCCAGACAGAATGACGGGAGTCAGCCTAAGGTTAAGAAGTGGATAAAATGCCATTTCCTTTTTGTTTTTGTTTTTTTTCTTCCCTTTTTTCATTTCCATGTGTTGCATAGTGAAGAGCAATCACGCAAGTCTCATCGCCGTTCATTGGCAAATGCCATACAGTGCCTTTAAACTTTTATTTTTTTCCCCTCTTCCCTCCCCACGCCCCGGTTGGCATCTGTTTTTTCCTGTGCAAGCCAACTGGAGTTTCTTACTTTTGGGAGTTGAATGTTGGGCTTCATTTAACCAGTCGCATTTCAGACATTTTTACGCAGTTTTTTACTAATTTGTACACAAACGGTTTTAAGTCATGACATGAAAATTTTGAACAGAATTCTACCAGGTGGCTGTTTATGGGAAAACCCCCTTTTATTTTTCCTTTCTCATACATTTTTTTTTTTCCAGTGGCTTTTTTTCTTTTTTAATTTGCCCTCCCAAATTTCAACTGAATGGGCACAAACGTTGGATGTACTTCTCTTACTTGCTTTGTTCCAGTCATTAAATATGTGTGTGGATACTACTGGATGAGTCCAAATCGGCCGTCCGTCACTTTCCGGCTGACGGACGCTGCTGAAACTGGACCGAACCATTTTGGTTGTACATAGTTTGATTTTGCACTTTTTAATTTGCACGGGTGTAGAGGTGGCAGTGGTTTTTAATCACTTTTGTACATCAGCAGGCGACGCGCCTCCCTTAGAACAGCCGCTTGTTTCCTGTTGAATGTAAGAACTTCCACTTAGCTGATGATAAATTAACTATCCAGAGCTTGAGTAGACCCCCAGTAAACGATCTCCCACTTTCTTATCCCATTTTTGCCTTCCTGTTCCAGTTGGAGATAAATGCGTATTATTGAGCTGTGTGCCAAAGACGACGTGTCTTTACTTTGTCCATTCGGTTTGTCACGCTGAGCTTGTTGTCCTTTAGCCCAGCTGCTTTTTAGAGTTTTGAAAGTCTACCTCATTGTGGTCTGCCAAGTTTGCTGCTACTTAACAGTTGTGGAGTATGTTCAGATTGGGCACAATAAAGGTGTTTAAGCATTACGTCTGACTGAGCTCTTTTTTCTTTCTTTTAATTTTTTTTTATTAATGCATGTTCTGAATTTCTATTTATTTTAAAAAGCACCGTTGTGCTTTGTGCCAGTTAAATGTATGTAAGCTGTTAACCAGGCCAGGTTTGGAAAAATTGGATCACTCAGAACTTGCTGAAATATGAAGGTTTGGTTTCAAGTTATTTTTTTTTTTCCCCTTTTCAAATGAATCATTCTCGTAAAATGGTTCCAGTTGTCTTTCTCTAATTTCAAATGTTCCTGTGGATATCTGAACACGTCGGAGGGAGAATGTGTGCAGCTTCATAATCAACACGTTCCAAAGCTGTGCCTGGACGCTTGTAAATGTTAACTTTAAAATGGATAAAACTCTGTTCTGTCCATTTTAAGCCACTGGGCCAACACACTGGATCCCTGCAGAGGTGTGGCTCTGCTTTTTGGTTTCCATTTTACTCAAATGGACTCTATGGGAAACACTGGTTATAAACTTCCTGTTCACAGTAACACACTAATCTGTGCTAATGAGGCTAAATGTAGCCTCCTCTGCATCCCTGAGGAGGATTTCAGGTTTATAAATGGATAATTGATCAGTTTCCCCCCCTGAAAAGAAACTGTTCAGATGGTAAATTTGACTTAAAATGTAGGGATTAAACTCTGGACAAGACATGTTAAATCTCTGGTTATGTTCCCAACATGTTAATAGTTTGGACAAAGCTTTAACCTCCCACATCCCTATCTGAACAGGTGTTCTTCCACCATTACTAACGTTAGTACAGCCAATACAAAGCCAAAATAGTTTAGAACGATTCTGCTGCTTGAGACTCAATTAGCCAGGCAGAAAAAGGTCTGATTTTAAATAACCTTTATTGGTAAGGCGTTACAGATATCTACAGTCCTCGTGGAGTTTTGAAGTTCATCCCGATGGTTGGCTGAGTGACCTGAAGCTTGGAGAGACCGCCGAAATCCTGCCGGGAAGAAACGTTTTCCATGAGCAACAATTCTGTTAAATGGACTGTTAAACTATTTTTAACCAGGTCATTGAATGCCTCACCAGCATTTTGAGCATCTCCTTTGTGTCGGGGTCCACCTCGATGAGCTCCTGGTCCAGAGCAGAGACCTGCAAAGACAGAGAAGCTTTATGTGGATCCAACAGCCTAATGACATCTAAAAACGCTTCAGTCTGAGTCACGCAAGCTGCTGAGTCAGCATAAAGCTTTATCAGAAGTTATCTGAATCCCTTCGGCTTTCTGTTCTCTTTTAAGCTGCAGTTCCCAGACCTAAATAGGCTGGTCCCGATCCGATGTCTGGATCGGAAAATGCAGATCCAGACTCCAGATCCAGTTTTTTACTTTGCATTTATATTCTCATTCTTTGCTTATTTTTGCTTGATTTAGGAGTTTTTATTTTTTTACTTTGCATTTATATTCTTATTCTTTGCTTATTTTTGCTTGATTTAGGAGTTTTTATTTTTTACTTTGCATTTATATTTTCATTCTTTGCTTATTTTTGCTTAATTTAGGAGTTTTTATTTTTTTTATTTTGATTTTATATTCTTACTCTTTGCTTATTTTTGCTTAATTTAGGGCTTTTTTTATTTTTACTTTGATTTATATTCTTTTTTTGGGGCTATTCACATTTAGTTTGTACCTGTAGTTCTGTATTTTTTGCATTTTGCTCTC